GCTATGTATTAACAAGCCAAGTGCTTTATTAATTGGAAAGGATTATTTTTATGAAGCCACCATCTGGGTCTTTCAGATGTCGCAGACACTCCAAAAACAGGCACAAACTTTGAGAAGGATTTAAGGCCAAACACATTCCTATCTGCTTCCTCACTCAATTTTTTAGATTCACTTTGCTCATCTGGGCCTAAGGTCTTTTCCAAGGAAGCAGAAAACTAATCTGGGCAGATTCTGGAATGCAACTTTAATCCCTGTGGAGAGACCTGTTACATACATTAACTAAGTAAATATTGTCTGAAGGTCAGAGCATGAGAAAAATGAAATACAAAACAAATATTAAAACTTGCTAATTTTTTTTCTGCTTAGTTTAGATAGGATTGCCAAACATGACTAGAATAAGTGTAGCACCATATTTGCAAGGGTGATCTAGAAACTGTTCCCTGCTACTTCTCCAGAAGCAGATGGTAACCTGTAAGCAAACCAAGAAAAGTTCAGGTTGTTTGTATTCTTTTACAGAAGAAGCAACCTAAACGGTGGCAAAACTTTTTTTTAATCAAGTCAGATATTCAAATCATGAACATTATTGGACATGATTTGAAGATCTGACTTCATCATTATTCATTCATATGCAATCACAATGAAACATAGAAAAGAAAACAAATAATTCTACCCTTAGAAGATTCTCAAAAGAAAGGGGCATTTTGGTAGAATAATGCCCTACTTTCACACTAGTACTTTCACACTAGTACTTTCATAGTCAAGAAAGTACTATGAACTGCATCCAATGCCTTCCTCCTCTTCTACTGAAGTAATAACTTTATTAATATATGGGAAATCACAAAGGTGGATAATCCAGTAGTTGAGGCAGGGGTGGGGGATCCATGACCCTTCAGATGTTGCTGAATTACAGTTTCCATCAGTTCCAGCCAGCATAGCCAGTGGTCAGGGATGATAGCTGTTTTAGCCCAACACTTCTCGGGTCACAGTTTTCTTCTCTCCTTAGGGAAGAACTGTTGAATATTCCTGGAACTTTTAAAATTGATTAATGAATGCCAGATTGGGCACAAGAACTTTTGCTAAACCAGACTAGCAAAAGGATGTTAAATCAGAAGCAAGTTCCTATTTGGATTACTTTTCCTGAATTACACTGAACAAGATAGTTTTACCAGATGTGTATTTTCTGGAACTGGAAACAAGGAACAAAGGTCACATGGAATTTATCTCAAACATGAACAAACAAATAGATTTATTTCTTTCTAAGCTTTTCCATGTCAGGCTAAACCATTAAACTTACAGTACTAAATGAAAAGCCCATCCTATGCCAAAGCACCAAGGTCAGAAAAAGGAACGGCAAGAAAACTACAAAGACTGATTGATTTAAAAAGTTCTTAATACAGAGAATTGTACAGTGGCCCTTGCATAGGTAAAGCAAACTTTTAATATCTGAAAAAGTGTCACCCAGTGGAGCTATTTCATTATAGCAATTCACTTTTTTCTATCCCAAGACAGATATTTATCATAAATAGGCTTTTAGTTAAGTAACATTTTAACAAAATCTTTAATATTTAGCTTCTTTGGGGGACTGCCATTTCAAATACAGAGCTAAGGTTTGGAACAGCAGAGCCTCTCTATCTTGTTTCTGTGGATTAGTTTTAACTTACCTCAGACATGGACCTGGGCCTTCTTTCACTTTTATCCAAAAGTACACTGCCAAATACACTACTCAGAATAGATTCTGCAAACCTCAACATGAAGAACTCAACAAGTACTCCTTGGGTAGTATCCTAAATAACTAGTTTTATTGTACTTGTTGGAGCTAGCGCTGGTGCAAACAGGAACAAGCTAGTGCTTCCTACAGCCACCTTAGAAATTAGTGGAAACACTTGTTTCTGTTCATTTTTTATTATTTAAGGAACCACTAGCTTTTCAGTGAACTAGTGACAGGACCTGCCAGACTGTAGGCAATGTGGAATAGTGCCTTTTCTTTTATAGCTCTTCATCCTCTATTTAGCTCGTATTTCTCACTCTCTGCCTGTGATCATCCATCCCACTATCACAAAAAATTCTGTTCTCTCAAACAAATTATTTTTTCGTGCTGAGTAATAGCCCACCCAAAGTTTGAGTTTTACTACTGACAGATGTTGGCAACAAAATAAAGAGGTTGTTGTTATTAACCATAAAGTAGGCACAAATTTTACTCTTGTCTGACTTCAAATACAACCCATCTGCTTGATATATAGTTTTTTATTCTTCACACCAGTGCATAACGTATCAACTTTGATTTAGTTTCCTCTATCTGCTTAATTCTCTGAAAAAGGGACAATAAAAATTCTGCTTACAGGAACCACTCCCATCAGCTCATGAACTTATTTTCAGGAGGCATGTCTGACCAAAACAGATTCTCTTTTTGTTCCAACCATGACCCTTCCTAGAAGCCAGTGTGATTTTTTTTTAAGTACATTTAACAGCAAGCCCTATGAAGAGGCATGAGACTTTCCACTCAAGCCATAGAGATGCTGGGGTCCTAAATAAGAATGGTAACTCTCTAAAATCTACTTTGATGTACAGAGCAAAGGGTTAAGTAGCAAATACTATGCATACATTTTCAAGACAACAAAGCACACAGGCATTCACTTTCTTAAACTGATTAAATTCTATGTAATATGGTAAACCACACTATTACCACAGAGTAGCTGCTTTTCTATATTATCTATAAAAAACTTGCCTTGATAGCTATTAAAATCACCATTTCACCATTTTCTCTGCAGAATTCAACTGAATTACACTATTTGCCTGAGACTGCAGTTCTTTCGAAATCCACCAATGTACATGTGAGATTTGAAACACCGCAAAATGCAGTGACACCATCACTCTAATCTGCTTCTGAACCAGTAAGCTGCCTAACACAATATGAGAATGCACTCTGGAGTTCTTGATGATGGTGCAGGCGACATTGGGCTGTTTTTGAACTTTGAAAATGGTATCTCCTCCCACCTCTTCTTTATTGTCCGCAAAGAAGGGATGAATAGTAAGGCCAGAGGGCTGGGGTCAGAGAAGGTGAATAGACTGGGCAACCACTGCCTCTGACCATCTGTGTAAAGTGCCCTACATTCAAAATTATTTGCCAACAATGGATTTAAGCAGACCAGGTAAGGAAGGCAGTAGAGTGTTGTGGATGCCAGCATTTCAGAGGGCAAATGGAAAGCACTGTATTAATGAATGCACCCCCGTGGAAAAGGCTTCTGCATGTACTTAATTAGCACATCAGGAAAGGCACTACACGAATATTGCTCTCTTGCCCAAGCTGCTTTCCCTATTTCCATAATGTCTTTCCCCATGAGTATAAGGGCAACCTTCTAGTGGCCCTTGGTTGCCTGGCAGGTGACAGAGGCTCAAGCATGCCCCTCGCCTAACCCTGGCAACTGAGAATGGATTAGGCGTTGTATCAGATCAGATATGCTATTTCAGAAATTCATGGATCCCAACAACCACCACCACATGCAAAAAAATAAATAAAAAATCATAGTTGTAAAAAACTGTCCCAGTGATTAGGTAAGGAGTATGCACTATGTAGTAATGCCAGAAGTCCTAGCCTATGGGCACCTCTGACAGACAAAGTGTTCACTTTCATTTTGGGATGAAGAATTGAGTTTCCTCATATTAAACAGGAATGGTACCAAAATCTACCTTTTCTGCCCACAGCACAATTCAATAGAGAAGTATAAATTATTGCTCTTATCTGTTATGAATGTGCACATGCACACACAAGTACAAGTACACACACATATCCATCAACAAGAGGAGGGTTACATGCACACACCCCTTTACAAATTAAAAACAACACTTCATACATCAGAGAAAGGGATTCTCGATCACAAACACTTATGCCACCAGTTTAAGGTATGACTAGACTTGTTTTTGCTGCAACAAATTACACTGCTCCTGCTTTGAGAATATGTGCTAACTGGCTCTCAAAGCAATGTGCAGTGAACATCTATATTGCTTATTCTGATTAAAGACTTTGCATATGATTCGAAAACAAGGCAAGCACCACATCTATTTTTTTATTTTGTTAAAAAAAAGTATGTTGCATGGAAAGCTACACTATTGCTACAAAGAAGCTGTTCCTTCTGCTTCTGAATAATGGCAAACCAACATCACATAATTTAATCTAGGAGTTACCAAGGCATCAGTGACAGACACTAGGTTTTAAGCTTGTGGGAGAGAAAACAGTTAGTGCCCATGTATAGTTGGAAAGGGAGATTCTTGCCATATCCACCATCTGAGTTTAAAAAAGGAAATGCCCATGCTCAAGGCAAGTCATGAACTGGTTCTTTTCAGGAAAGTATACCACATTCAAAACAGGTTGTCCACCTACTTTGAACATGACAGGCTCACCAACCAGGAACATCTCTGTCTTGAGTTACAAGTCTGGACTGAGCTGCAATATTGGCCCTGACCCATCAGTGACTCCAAACACCTGTTGAAGGACTCTGCTGCCTCACCAAGATTCAAAAAGGAAGAGATATTAGATGACACAAACAGCCCCCAAACACTGCATAGTCTCTTAAGCAGTATTGAGTAGTTATTCAACAACACAGACAAATGAACAGAAACCTGAGCCACCCGACAGGATGATTCCCTTGGAGTCAGACATTAAGACCACCTTCTGGAAACTACCTGACAGGGAAGAGTGGAACCACAACCAAGCAGAGCCAAACACTCTTAAACCTGACAGGGGGTACAAGAAGGCAGAGAGCTTGTGGTACTGAAAATGCCTAAGGAAACCAGGAGAACTAAAAGTGACACAAGTTTCCTCCGTCCTATACACAGGCCAGAAGACTGAAGTGTAGATAACCATTTTTGTCCAAGTTTTATTCTGGTGCTGAATAGCAACCATCCCTTGTTCCAACACATTGCCTATACATTATAACAAAACAAGCTCTAAACTGAAATGGGTCTGATTCAGACTATGAAAAGCATCTTAACAACAGACTTACACCAAAGCTCATAATAGTAATTGCAGCACTGAGACTGTCGGCAGCAATGGCCCGTTTCGCAGATGTAACTCTGATTGTTGATTCCTATGCATGTTTCTTTGTCCTAGAAAATAAGAGAAAAATAGGTTAGGGACAGTGCATTTTAAACTATGAGAAAGATCCCTGTATTCTAAATAAATGTAAAACCCCATTTAGCTTGTGATGTATGTATTAACTGTGAATGTAAAACCTTGTTCAAGATCACATATATCTTAGCATCGACCTGTGAAGCATTCAAAGTTTCTAACTCTAGCCCAAGCTTTTAAATAGAATGAACACTAGTATTAACCTAGATTTTCCTGATTCCATCAACTGGAATAAAAGTACCAAGTGATACTCAGTATTTCAATTGTGCAGCAATATTAAATCTATCCATCTCCCTTGAATCATTCAGTTCCTCTGCACCCCTGTGGCTCCCTTTCAGACTGGTTCTATGCATGCAGTAGAAAGAGGTGGGCATGAGGTAGTAGAATGGATCAAAACTGTTCAATCTGCAAATGGAATCAAAATTCTTGAACTTTCCTTTGCATAAACACAAAAAAACTCTCTGCAGGTCAGGTCAGTGAACTGGGGGATGGGCTAGAATATTCCACCCTTTTATGCTAGCCCCCCCCCCCACCACGGAGTTTTAACAACAGAGTAAAGGGAGAAAAGTGCAGGTGAGGGGAAAGGAGTGTATCATAGTTACAGTACAGCATGAAGATAAGTAAATGAATATTTAAAAACAGTATCCCCCATCTTCAGATTGAAATGATTCTGTCCATTCTACCACTTTTGGACTTCATCACCTTGCTGATGCATATGTAGATTAGGCAGATATGTAAATTTACAAGTCATCTGTCCTACTCCTGCTTAACCTCTTTCCCAATTTCAGGCCTTTTATGTGGTACATTTTCCCCCTGATTCTCAATAAAGGCATTTCCCACTTGCTGTTCTGCCTTTAACCCTGCACTTCAACCTCACCATCTTGACAAGAAGAAGGGTGTAGGATTACATTTATGGCCTTGGCAAACTGCTAATATTTTTTTAAATGGCAATCAGATCTTACAATGTAATTTTATTTTGTTCCTCTAAAATCCCTTTGTAACAAGTTTTTAACATTAAAATGAAGTATGCACTATTTCTGTATTACAAAAAAAGTTTCTGTATTTAGTATAATATATATTCGCAATTATTTATCTGTAGTTTTCTCTAATGCATGGGGATCCTGTACTAGATGTTTCTGTTTTGGCATTTTAACACTGAGAATGTTGCAGTCCATGGTGTGTACTCAAATACATCACTCTTATTTCATTTTTGGTAGCTTTTTAGCTGTACAGCTCTATATTTGGCTTTTACAGAATCAAATTAAAACTGAGAGATCTAAACTCACCAAGCCCAAAGTAACATTTGACATATACTCCTACTCTGAGATAATTCTTACCTAATTAACAGTACATGTTTAAATAAAATAAGCTTTCCAGTAATATGTTTTCCTGGAATACTCCAGCAATCTAGGACAAAAGCCAAGTGAACCATACTTTATCATCATGTAATCCTCTCTGAAGGCTAGCTCTTTAGATAGCCAAGACACAGAATATAGTTATCACCCAATGATCATGACCTGACTGTTCAGGGTGTAATGGAGGGCAGAGGAACCATGGGTGCTCTAGGAATTTCCAAAGCCTTATTTTCTATCAACCTATTCCAACTTGGTGCCCACCAGGTATGTTAAGTCTGCAATTCCTTTCATTCCTAATCAGTATGGCCATTGTTTGGGGAACGCAGTTTTACATCCGTGGCAGCAGAGTCACTGTGGACTGTAGCACTAAGATTAGACAGCTGTTTGATCAAGTCTGGAAAAATTTATCTCTGGAATTATCCCCCTTACAAGATGTTCCACCAGAAAAGCTATATAGGGTTCAGAGCCTACTTATTTATTGTGGTACTACTATTCTTTCTGGTCCAAACAACTCATTTGTTTGCATGAATCAGGTGAGTGGCTGTAGAGTTGCAAAATTATACATCTCAACTTTCAGAGTGAGCACCAGTGAAGTAATGGATATTGCACCAAGCTTTAAAAACCTCAAGACATTCGTTTCAACTTCTGAAGTCAGGTGTAAAGTGGCATTTCATATGATAACTACCAATGACTGTTGTATAATATTTAACATTTATATAGTACCAGAGTGTTGAAAATGTCAGTGTGGAATAGAGAGTAAAAAAGTGTCATATATGGACAGTGGGAAAGCCAGTCTGAACATCTTGCTCAGCCATGATGAATTTTAGTCAAACATCATTCTTAGTCTAACAATCTCAGTCTTATACAATTGTTGCAAGGTTAGAAAGATAATGATTGAGTGGTGGACACCATATGTCAGCCAGGGTCCTTGAACAAAGGGCAAGATAAAAAAGAAATAAAATATCTATAAATTGCCAACATAGATTATCCTCATAAATCTTGAATGTTTCAGTACAGTAACTGAAAATGAAGGCCAAGTAGTGGTGGTTTGCGAAAGGGTCACCAAGATTTGAACTAGGGCTTGTTGGGTTATACCAAACTAAGAAGGAAAAAAAAGTATTGCTTGCATTTTCCCAATTTCAAAATCACAAGTTTAGGTATCATTTACAGTGCCTAAGATGAAAGACAGGACAAATTAAATGTGGCATAACAGGCATCATAGTGAATTTTTAAAAGATTATTTGAAATACTTATCTCAAAAATGCAAACACACACAATATACATGTACACAAAAGGCCATTTCACAGTTTCCTCTAAAAACACCTGATATTAGATTATGCAAGTAAAGCTACATAATCTGTTATTCATAAAGGAAACTTATTCTATTATTGGATCCACAGACACAGACATCAGCACCAACATTCTCACCATTACCATCACTGCAGTAGTAGTTAGCACCCTTCATAAAAACCCCCACCAGACATCTAGTTTCATTTTCAAAGTGCCCACATCAAAGTGCTAAAACAGTTTCTAAAAGAGGAAACATCTCCTGCATCATCTTACACAGCAAAGGGACACTCCTTCATTACATCCATAACAAGCTGAAATCACATGGGCCTTAGCTAGCATTTGAATACATATTCAAATTACCTCTTCTCTGAAAATCACAATATTGTACAAACCAGGAGAGACAGATTGGCAAAAAATTTAATTTTTCCTTAGTGGAACTATTGTTTTCCAAGCATCCCAGATGCCAACTGGAAAGGCAGTCAAAATAAGTGCTGAAATATACCCACCACTAATATTTCAACTCAAATTAAACTATATTGAAGCTCTCTGTGGCCCATAAGAAGCTATTTGTAACTGCAATCCCTTTTACGTACACTTAAAAGATCTGGACAATGAACAAGGCAGTCACATTTATTACCGTCCAGACAAACCCCGTACATCTGCCAACAGTATATGACAAAGCACTTTTCAAAACTAGCTAAAGTAAAGGGATATTGATAGTGGGGGGGATACTGATATAAGTGCCAACAAGGAATAACAACATAGTAAGGCTCCCCTCATTTTCCAAAACAGAGCTCCTTGAAACCCTGAAGGTTTCATATATCATGCAAAAGAAACAACAACAACAACAAGCTGGAAGCAATAATAAGATACCATTTTATTTCAGATGTCAACAGCAGTGCCTTTTCTGCATGAGTAGCATCCTCTCACAGATCTCTAGGGTAGATTTGCTTGCTTAGCCAATTTCTCTTCATATTTATGGCTTTGACTTGTACCTATGTCTTCTTTGCATTACTTGTTTCTTTGTACTATGCATTGTTGCAGTGCTCTCTTAATAGACATCTTTAGTTCAAAGAAGAGATGAAAAATATTTTAAAGCAGCTTGAAAGCCCATAACAACTACAGAGAAAAACCCATGACCCATATGCTCCCTGTGCTTAAGGATCTACTTGTCCACTGACTAGCTGACATCATTTGTGGGCTGCTGCCCAGAGATTACAGATTATGCTGTCCCACAAAGTTAACTAATGTTCAGGCTTCAGTAAATCCACTCAACTTAGCAAATGTGGCATCACCTACTCATAATAAGTGCTCAGACTTCCTCTCAACTTTGAAGCTGGAGAGGTGGGCAGAGATAATCTAAGCAGAGGTGCTACAATACGGAATAAATTTGCTTGGTTCATCTTATCCTTTAGACAAGGACCTGGTGTGTAAAGCTTTTCCAATAATGCACCGTGCCATGCTTTTTGATACCAGAATTCCATGAAGAAAGTATCAGAGATTTTCCACTGCTTTGGGAGCAGGGGGAGATTGTTTCCAGATGTACCACTACCAGGAGGAAAATGAGCTGTTTCTTATATAAATCCTTGTTTGCACAATAGGAAAGTTTAGCTCTGGAAACTAGATTTTCCATACTGTTTTTGATAGGATACATATTTTTGATGTTTCTGCATTTTAAATTTTTCCATACATCAAAATTCTTAGCCATGTTTTAAGTTCTATCAACATATTTGCAAAGACTCTCCGAACATGAAGGATATTCCAAAATGGAATTGCAGCACTCTTTCAAGCTGTATGAAGACTTGTTTTTCAAATCATCTGCTATTTTAAGGCAGGAGAAAGAAATAAGAATGTTTGATCTGTTTAGCCATCAACTAAACATTATTATTTGACTAAGGAGTTTAAGACATGCTTAGTGAATGGGCAATATTCATAAAACATATTTCTTTTTAAAGGATGTGGTAACTGGTTTTGTTCAAGTTAGAACAAATTCTAGTTCATCATATTCAAATATAATGGGAAATTGTGTTTTGTTCAAAACTGCAAACAGATACATTAAACTTCCTTTCTCAAATAGAAAAGAAGAGAGAGCTCAAGACTTTGGAATGCTAAAGCATGGTTTAAAACCATCTGCAAAAGCAGAACTGGCAACTTTATTTAAATAGTCTGTTTAATGGCACACTGAACATTCTGGTTAGAAACTGTTTGGGGTAACATAAGGCATCTGATCCCACCTTATTCTTGTGGCTCATTAATTGACCTTACATCAGAATTTTCCAGTTTGAACACAACCGGAAACTTTGGCTTAATACAAGCCAGAAAGTGGAGTGCAAGAAGAAGAAGCATTGCCCAGTCCTGATGCTTGTTTCCAGGTTCATAAATCAGCTTACTTATTTGGATTCATGCAGTGAAGGTTCTTCTCCCAACCATGCAGAGTTAGGAAGTCTCAAGAAGTCGTAATTTAATCATCACTGGCCTGATTTTGAAAACTAGTTTTAGAAATCTTTTCCAAATACAAACAACACAAAACTTTTAACATGGTATTCTGCTCATGTCGCCATCAACAATAGCTTCAGAAATGCAACTTCAGCAATAGAAGAATGAGTCAAATAATGCCTTCCTGATCAGTTGTGATTCTTTTCTAAAACTGGAAAAAGTATATATCTCTTTTTCCTGAGCTTCAGGCTAAGAAATTCCCCAACAAAATCAAGTTAGATGGGAAACACAAGTTTTATAAGTAGCATCGTCCATTTCAATAGCAAATGCTGGCTAATAGTTTATATAATATGAAGCAAAGTGTCATTATAGTATAAACCTTGGCCTATTCATTCCTCAAATGAAGTTGACCAAATGCTAATACTTAGGAAGTTGAGTACAATGACTTCAGTATACTTATAAAACACAGTTACTAATATGGGGCTGCACATTGAAAAAAGGATTGTTTATACACCTTGCCTCCAAAGCAATATTAACTGTTCCCCAACGTTAAGGAATTAAAGAGAAATCAAACTGAAGCCTTAAGAGCAATCAAGTATCTAAGATTGGGGCAAGCAACTTGTGGCTCTTCAGATGCTATTGGAGTGCACCTGCCATTAAGCTTCACTACTGGCTGCACTGGTTAGGACTGATGGGAACTATCTGGTCAGTGGTTTCATACATTCTTGATTATGTAAAAATGCAATTCCTTACGTGTTGAAACGGAGAAAAATTCTACAATTTCTAGCATGATCCAGCCAGCTAGGCTTACTGGAGAGATACTGGAAATTGTTCAGAGAGAAAAAGATTCTGCTTCAATTTTGTTAACTGAAGCTTTAAAAATTTTATTTTTCTGGCATTTAGTCAACCTCATTATACCTTAACTATAGGTATTCAGAGACATCACCAGAATTCATAATTCTCTTTAGCTTCTTTCAATCAATCATCAATCAGTCACACTATCTGTGTACATTGGAGACACAATACTCAATTTATCTTCAACATGCTGCAGCAAACAACTAAGGAAAAGAAGGTTTATTTTGTATATAAATTAATATGCCAACAAAATCAATCCCAATAGTTCTGACAGATAGCACTGCATCTAACCAGTTTTCACCAATACAGATTTCACTGCTCAAGTTTCCTGTACTTTGAACAAAAACATGGATTTTCCAAGCCACAAGATCTGCCCAAACATTGCTTTCATTCTGAAAATTAAACATGTCTAATTTAAATTTAGTTTTCAAATTCCAATTTGGTATCAATCTGAAGCACGTCTACCAATGTAAACCACTCATTTTAATCAATGTTATATTCTGTTGCAGATATTTTAAAAGACAGGATGTGACTATTTATTTTATTAGATTTTTCCCCCTACATCATTAGCCAGAAGACTCCCTGAGTGGGAGCCTTCATGTCACTATCCACATATATTGACTATTCACATACTCATATACTGGATGGGCCAAACGTAGGTATATATTACTGATCTGATCATGGAGGATGAATTGAAATCCTTGAATTAGTCCACTCCATTTCACAAGCGTTTATCAACATTGGTGCTAACTGGAATTTGTGTCACAGTGTCGGGGACAGGTTCCAGGAATGTTGCAATGTTGATGGAGGACATTTCAAGCATTTAAGGCAATAAACATGATTGTATACCTACTTTGGCCCACCTTGTACGTAAAATATAACTTAAGTCCTGGATAGAGCAATCAAATTTCCTCAGGTGGCAATTTAGAATAAGTCAAGCCCACAGAAAGCTCCATGGGCCTAAGAATACTTCCAGCAATACTGGTGGTAAGATCCAAAATGTGGTGCTCTGCATGTGTATTAGGGAAGCTTTGGATCCAAGGCCCTGAGGACTGATTCCTCAACTATGCACCACCCTGAAACTGGTAAAGCTATTCTCCTTCTCCCACACCCCATGATTTAAAAGCCTACATTGGATAATTTAAGACAAAATCCAGATATCAACCTCCTCTCGATCTCCACTCTTAGGTTTGCTCTGTAAGGTATTATGTGTTCTGCTTTTTAAAGCTATGTGGTTCATTATGAAATACAATTTGTCTTAGACAAATGTCAAGGAAAAATATTAGAAGACAACATTAGTGCAGGTGTTTTGAGTTAAATCAATAACCAAACCTGCATCTAAGAAACAACTTTGGGACATTAGTTTATAATGTTTGTTTACTTCCTATTGTTTATAATCAATAAACAATTGATCCAGGATATTTACAGAAAGACTAACATAAGAAATCAACAAATTTCATACTGAAAAGTTCTGACACATTCAGTTATACAGCATGGAGTGCTTATCACATTTACTCAGCATAGAGCTGTTCATACTAGATGGAAATTGCTATCAGTTCAAATGGATAGTTATGAATAACACCTTATGGTGCTTGGCTGTCAAGAAAGTACAAACTATGTAACTGAGTGTAACACTTCTATTTTGGAAAACCTTCAGGGGGGAAAAAGTAGAAGCAAAATAGACCATTAAAATAAGCACAAGGTAATACAACTGAAGGCAATGGGACCTAAAGCCTTGAAGAAGAACAGGAGTCAGGGCCTCTACCTGAGCAGTTTAGGTAGCCTGACCAACCAGAGGACCACCTGGCTGCTTTATTTTCTAATTCGGGATCTATGTTAGGCAATGGCTATTTTAAAAGCTAGCCTATATTTGATGTATAGGTATTTCTGCTGGGAGAAATAGTAAACCTACCTGGGTTCTGGAAAAGAAGCTGACTGGGCTCTGTGAACAACAGACAGGAGTAAACATTAGGCAAGAAAGAGTTCTGAACAACAGACTGAGGCAAACATTAGAAGTTAGGGCCAAGTGGAAAACACAAATGAAACAAAGATAAGTATGCAAACTGGTTACACGTACCAGATTATCACCTTTAAAACTTATATTGTCAGCAAACAAGAGCTGCACAACAGAAAGCACAACTGTGGTACAAAAGTTGCCCAAATTTCCTTTCAGGAGATATACATGGAATTAAAAGATTTCTACAGTCACGTAGGCGTCTGTTGCTGATGTAATTCAAACGTCAAATGCTTCAGCAAAATTTCAGCATTCCTCAGGAGAATTACAAACTCTCAGGAAACTTAATATGACTTAATAACTTAATATACTTAAACTCAAACTGTTCTGATATTATTGATGTGTTTATATTGTCAGTATATATTTTTCTTCTTTCGGACTAAACAACAATCCACATTGTGATTCTACTTTTATTCGAAACAATACAGATAATGTGAATTCACTCTGCCTGCTTCAATAAGCACTGCAGTCAACTTCAAGGGGTCACTGTCCTAGAGATAATTCTTGCTTCAACTCTAAATAACTTTACATAAAAAATCAGATCTGGATTTAAAAAAAAAAAAAACCAGGTAACTACAAATTAAAGGCAGTTGCTTTACGTTTTGCAGTGTTTTATTAGAAGTAAAATTAACAGCAGTAAATAACCAAAAATGCTTTAGAAATTTAATACATACCAAAACACCCTCAACCCTCATTTGCTATTTTCTGCCTAACAAATATAACTTTGGTGAGACATGCAAGTTGTATCATGCAAGGCGATACATCCCAGAACAAGTGCTGAAAGAGGGTCACTTGGAAACTGCTAGGAGTTTAAAAAGATTTCAGACTTGATACAAATTAGCAGTATCTTCTGCCATAAAATAGCTAGGTCAGTTCTGTTGCTATCTTTTCTCATTCTATTCTATATTAGCAATTATAAAATCTCCAGAACTTTTTAAATCTCCAGGGTAGCAATTCATATTTGGAAACATCTGGGTTTTTACAAGTATAAACATTCTTAATTCTGACAGTTTCCAATTTGAACTCCATACTGGTAGTTGTTTGCTTACTCTAAAACAGAAGTTAGTCAACAAAAATAAATTTAAAAAATCAAAACCAGAAACAAACCTTTAGAAGAAAACAGTTCTGCAACTCTAAATGTGAATTTTCTTATTAGAAAAGCAAAAGCCACAGAATGCAGAATGAAAAAATCTCACATCTTCTTGTTCCTAAAAAATAACTCGCCCCACTTATCTACATGTCCAGTAAAAGTCAGTTCTTCTTCCTCTAGAATACACACAATCGAGAAGGCAGGCAAGATCTGAATGGCTATTTAAGTGGCTGACTTTCACAAAGGAAGCAAAGTAGTTGTTTTTTTAAGTCAACAGAACCTCATATTCTCCACCCTAACAAGTAAAACAAACCAAAAACAAGTTACCTGCCGCAGGCCCAAAAGGAAAGGCATTCTGCATTCTCATAATCCACATTCACTAAGAGTTTAAACAAAGGAATTTCTAAAATCCCACAGCAATCACTTCCTCATCTCATATGGACAGGCGGCACCCACAATCAAATTTAAACCAGGACTTCCTTGGCTGGAAATGTTAAGTAAACAGGGTCCCAGGATACAGCATGCACTCAGTCAGTCAGTCTCTCTCTCCCTCCCCCTGCCCCTTCTTTCCCCTCCCCGTGACCAATCTCAGAAGCAACACAGCTTCCATACCGTTTACAAGGGGGAAGTGACATCAGTAGCAGCACTGCAAGGGGAGGGGGGGACCTTCAGACAGCTGCTGATTAACAACTCCAAGAGGCCTACTGCACAGAAGAAAATGCACGGTAGTTTGCAAACAAAGCACTTAAATCAGAACAGTGGAATTATGCATCTGAAAACTACCGTGGTTGGTAACAGACTTCTCAAAAGAACAAAAACAAAAAACTGACTTATACCCCACCTTTCCACCAAAAATAGCACTCAGCAGCAGCTAATAATTACAAACTACAGGTTAAAACAAGATCTTGATTAAAGTATAACATAAAATTAAAAACACAATGTAACAAATAAAGCACACCCCATCAGTTAAAACAACCTTCAGCAACAGTCTGCCCAACTAAAACTCTCTGCCTGCCAGCAGATGCCTAACAGAGAGTGGCCAACCCAGCAGGAAGATCAAGAGACTGCCACCAAGAGATCCCATTTTTAAGTCCCCACCAAATGTGCCCCTGATGCTGGCAATGCTGAGAAGGCTCTCCTCTGGAGAGTTTAAAACTGAGCCATGCTCATATGAAAGAAGATGGTCTTTCAAGTAACCTGGTCATAAATAGCACTCCGAGCTTAGCCTGGAAATAGTAGCCAGTGAAGCTACTATACCAAGGGAGTCACACACTCCCCATATTCCACCCTGCTTAGTGTCTGACTACTGCATCCTAGAGAGCTGATGTTCCTGAAGGCAGCCCCCACACAGAGCAAATTACTGTAGCTGAAATGGGATGTAACTAAGGTATACATAACCATGGCAAGATCTGACATCTCTAGAAACAGACATAGTTGGTGCACCAATACTCTTTCAAAAGTCTTAAATGAGCTAATGAAAGCATATGGTAATTAAACCATTTGAAGTGTCAGCTGTTTATTAAGGAGTAGTGTTCATTCATTAGGAATACAATTTTTTAAATATTCTTTGATTTTATTATTCTATTGTTTTTATGAATTGCTGCAAACTGCCCAGAGCACTTTGGCTATGGGGCAGCAGGAATAAAAAAGGTGATGACTGATGATGCAAATGGAACTAGCATGTGATTAGCCTGCACAAGTCTGGTTAACAGCTACTATGACTTGTCAGCTCCACTGGTGATTATGTAAACTGGATGACTGCCATAGTGGGCAACTGCTGTGGCTTTTTGCTATGTCTGGGTTGTTGGCATGATTAACAAAGCCCCCAAAATCCACGGGCCATTTTAGGGTTGCAGGTAGTTTGCTAACCATATCCAATAATCTACCCTCACAAGAGCCACGAGATATAAAGAGCCAAGCTACAGTTGCAGGTTGAATATGCAAAATTCACCCAACCCACACTGCAATCTACCATGCCTTAAATAAGCCATAATGGACTGCAAGCCAGGTAATTCTCTTTACAAGCTGTACCATAACCCACCCATTCAGATACTTCCACTGAGACTCTGCTCACTTTTATAGACTATTCCCTCAGAATGTTCATCCAATAATAAATTAGTGAGCATTTGTCTAGCTTGCCTATAGATTTTATTCCTTTCTGAAAAGTAATTCACAGTGCACAATTAAGGTAACTTCCCCAAAAGGGCACTGCTAAGTACTCAGAAGTTTTAAAGCACAGGCCCCAGAACACAAATTTGCCTATGCTAATTTATATCTATGTGTAAACATTTAGAATTATCAAAATTTACTTACATTGCACAGAAGTCAAAGTCTGGCAATTAATTCCCCGTTTAAATCACTTTAAATAAAAGAAATTCTTCAAGTAACTTGCATCCCATCCCTGATCTTCCCAAATCAACAGTTCCTCTTCTATTACAATTAATTTGTGATGGTGAACAGACATTCAAAGAAAAACACATACAGAAGAGTGGTTATTATTTTTCCAGAAGCCTTTTCAAAACCCTCCCCAGAAAATAGCTATGGTGAATTAAACTTTTGACAGAACACCAGGTTGAAAACAAATCAAGGATAAGTCAGGGTGTTGATGCCACATAATTAATTTCCCAAATCCTGTTCAGTTCATTTCCAAATTTAACATTTCTGCTTAAATTAAATTGATACAATCATAGAAAAGAAGAGTTAGAAGCAGCCAGATGGCCATTGGGTCCAACTCCCTGCTCAGTGCAGGACTCCCAAATTAAACCATCCCTCTTAGGTGGCTGTTCAGTTGCATCCTGAATGCCTCTAATGTGGGAGAGTCCACAACCTCCCTAGGTAGTTGATTCCATTGTTGTACTGCTCTTATAGTCAGGATTTTTTTTCTAATATACAGCCAGAACGTGTCTTCCTGTGACTTGAGCCATTATTCCATGTCCTGTACTCTAGGATGATCTAGAGGAGATTTAGTCCTTCGTCTTTTTGACAGCCTTTCAAGTACTTGTGGAGTGCTATCATCTCTCTCCTCAGTCCTGCCTTCTCAAGGCTAAACATGCCCAGCAATTTCACTTTTTCTTCCAAGGGCTTTGTTTCCAGTCCCCAAAGCAGCCCAGTAGTCCAACCTATCAAGATCATCCTTCTTTCTGTCTTCCAGGGTATTAGCTTCCCCACCCACTTCCTTCTATCTTCAGAGTATTAACAGTCCCAACTAGTTTTAATGCCATCTGCAAACTGTATAATTGTTCCCTGCATTTCCTCATCCAAATAATTAAAATGTTGAAGAGGACTGAATCATGCAGTACCCCATTTGTTACCTCCCCTAAATTTTGAGAAGGTGTCATTGATGAGCACTTTTTGAGTCTGTAGCCAACTGTGGATCCACCTGATAGTTGTTCCATCTAGCCCACTTTGAACTAGTTTGCTAATTGGGATATTATGGGGAACTTGGTTAAACATTTTGCTGCAATCAAGGTATACTATTGTCCACAGCATTCCCACAGTCCACAAGGAAGGTTACCCAATCAAAAAATGAAATCAGATTAGTCTGTTAGGATTTGTTCTTGAGAAATCTTGTTTCTTGACACATTTGTGAATTAGAGAACCTGCTATGGATATCATAGATGGATTGTTTGCTTTGACAGCTACTTGTCACACTGATTGATATTAAGATGCATTTTATTCAGTAAAAACTTGGTTTCATGTCTACTGAACACAACCTATTTTTAATAAGGTATGGTCTAATCTGCTAATTGCTGATAGTGCAATTCTTTTAAAGGTATGTGTTGACAATGTTCAGTGCTTGCTTCTTTTGGGAAGAAGGTTATTACACAGCTAAATTTTGTACTAGAGCAGTCTTTAATATTCTTTGCTGTACCTGCTGCTCTTTTAAATTATATTTCTGCTTGATGAAAATCAAGTGGTTAACATAAATGAATTCTGTGTCTTTTTGACAGCTAAAAGTATTGCATAGCTGAAAGGATAAACACACATCACCTATAATGTAATGGGCTATGGACTTAACTATGCTTTTGAAATGCATATGGGTGGCATATACACACTGACTTCAGATGGATACTAATTTGGATCCTTGGTTCATTTTTGTTGACTCCCATGCATTTCATGTAAATATATTTGAAAAGAGAACATAAAATTTAAAGAACACAGAAAAAATGAAAGACCCATTTTGGCAACCCTTTGCAGGAGTCATTGGAGATGTCCTTGGGAGGTGTGTTGGAAAAAACTTCCTTTAAAATGACAGCCACAATATACCTTGGCTTAAGTCACTCTGGGTAATGGCGCATGCTGATGGCCATTATTCAAATAAGCTCATTGGGTATGGATAATTTGTAAACCACAACAACAATCTACCTTTGCTGGGTTTGGACATTATGGTAAGACTGCTACTGCAGCTGAAATGTTCATAATAATCTAGTTCACACAAATATTGGTGTTACAGTCACACAAACCACGGTGGATTGTCAGCCATACTGCACCTACCAATCAAGTGCTGCCCAAATTTGTTTAATTACTCCTGCTGGTGTATTTTATCATGTTGACAAGGGTGGGTTGCTAAAGTGGTTAACCCAGGGTGTTCTGGAATAGTTTGTTAATCATCACAGTGACCCACTCATGCTGGGTTTGGTAAGCCACACAGATGAGAATGGACTGGGCTGGTGTGCATAGCATGGTTAAGTGGATTGTTAACTTCCCAACGGTTATGAAACTGACTTGGTTTTATTTCTCTCTCACTTCCCTCTCCTTCCCTATGTCACTTTCCAAAAAGTTTTTCTCCTTCCCTGTCCCTTTCCACTTCAATCTTTTCTCCCTCTCCTCTCCAGACCCAGCCACCATATTTAGGCTTGAGAAGAGAACTATCTTAAACCCAGTTGAAGCATTTCTTGGTGAGTTTTAATTGTCATGCAGGCTTCTGAGAGTTGCAGCATGCAGGATGGGAAAGATTTAGCCTTTCCTTCCCAGCTGCAAATTATCTTCACACCAAAAATATCTCAAACACTTTTGCTTAACTAAAAAAAACTACCAGCATCACAGATTTTTTTTTCTTATGTCCAAATGCTGAGGGGCACAAGGAGATGAACAAAATCATATGAGGTCTGATGAAGAATGACTAGTCAAAGTTTGCAAGACTTTGGATAAGGCTTGGGAAGCGCAGGTAATATCCAATATCCAATTCCATGTGCTCTGACATAACTTTGTAAGCTGTTGCCACCTGGTCAGGTACTGTTATGCAGTATTTGGCTAGGTACTCTGCAGGTTCTCCTTTGATTGAAGCATAGGCAACTGCAATCATGTAATGAAGTGATCTGAATTACTTGGAGGGGTGGGAAGCAAAAACTCTGGGAAACAGATTCATTGCTGAAGCTCCATGGGTCCAGGTATAACAACACTTCTATTTCTTAATATACAGAATGTTAAGGGATCTCATCATTGCTCATATGATGACAGCAGCACCATTTGTTCAAAACCAGATTCTATACATAGGCTATACGGCTCTTCTCAGTTTCATACCAGTGATATTATTTCTCAAAACTGTTTTCTTTTAAGCAGTGGAGTGCAGCAAGTTCCAAAGGAATAGAGATGATATGAAAGAAAGTGATCTAAATTTAACTCTGCTATATCTCTGCTTTAAAAGTTCAGCAATCT